TTTGTCATGAAATCGTTCATATTATGTTGTAGGTATATTCAATTTGTACTAGTGAATATGAAGTGAGTTTTTAAATGCCATACAGTATGATCTCACCATTATTACACAGCCGGTCATCATAGGTAGTATAAATGACAACATTGTCGTGATGATTATGAAGAGATTAGACTAAGCCGGTCCTGCAAGTTACTCTATGATTGTTATGCTATTTCTAGGAAACTAGCGAGCATTTATGATTTATGATATTCCAATATACCGGGTGTTTCAAATTCGACCCTCACCATTGGGATCTGGGAAACGGTAAAAGATACAAGTCGCTTAAATGGGGAAAAGCTGCGTCTTTAGATAACGAACAAAATGCCGCTTAGAACAATTTAAAACTCAAGGTACTTCCGAAGAGAGATGGAAAAAACTGTTTTTTCACAAATTCGTATTAAATTTTTTATTCAGAGTGGAATTTGAAAATAAATAGCATATTGACAATTTTTCTGCTTTACAAGATGGCATAATTAAAATTTCAATATGACGTTTTGTCTCTCACCATAGCTTTTTTATTTCAATATGATTTTCGTGCCAACAATTCATGGCTAACTAAGAAAATATATCACTGAATTTAGGACTGAAAACTCCATTTAAATTTAAAAAATTTCAATAGCGTCCACATGAAAAAACAAAGTTGGTGATGGAAGTCGAAATAAAAAACCTCGTATTGAAAATTTTACTACGGCATCTTATAGATGAGAAAAAGTGACAGTGACGACATGTAATTAATTTACTTTGAAATCCCAACTCAAGTAAAGTCACGTTGAAAATGGTTTGGCGATCAATCTGGTATACGAAACAAATGACTATATATTTCAAGGCCCGGCTAAGAAATCTGTATTTTTTTCCATAACTAAGGTACATTATACATTATTTGAACCAGAATTAAATACTCTATTCATCTGTGTAAAAATCAAACTTGGCGTCCATAAAAAAAATAAAGTTGACGCTGAAGGACAAGAGACGAAACGTCATATTGAAATTCTGCTTACGCTATCTTGTAGAGGAAAAAAAGTGTCAATGATAATCTGCAATTTATTTTGAAATCCCACAAATGAAGTCAGAAAAAAATTATAACAATTTTGGAAAAACTCGGACGTACATTTTTGTCACGTGCCAAAATCACGTAACCTTTTTTTTCTATTTATCACTTATAAGTGATAATTATCAGTTATTTGAATTTCTCTTCATTGATAATAGAGTGCCCATTCCTAGGCCAAACCCCCTTTTCAATGATTCTCTTTTTGCAAATTTAATAGTTTATTGATTGTGTAATTTCACTCGTATTATGTCTTTCTTTCTCAGCGATTCAATATGGTCTTGACGATCAGCAGAAAACTCTTTTTTTTATATACTCCAATACTCCAACTACCACGAAGGCCTAAGGCCTAAGCACCCATTGGGTACCGTGGGGCTATAGGGGGATACATGGGAAAGGGGGAACGCCACACGGACTCTGGCGAGGGAACACGTGTGCATGCAACATGCACACATTCTGGCTCCGCCTACGAGATCCGCCGGGTGGTACCTCCGCGTTCGACAGTCAGAGACCATCTACCACCTACGGACAATCACAACATCCATAGCCAAGAGAAACATTTCTCCTGGGACGGGACTCGAACCCGCACAGCGCTCAGGAGTCCGAAGAGTCTACTACTGCGGCCACCTCTGCAGTTTTTCTCCGTTAGTTGGTTCCTATAAAACATATCTTCTTCAAGGCCACTCAAGATTCCTTCCTCTAGAACGTTACGTATTCTGGGTGATTCGTTTTTCAGTTTCCGTTGAGGTCGTGGTGCAGGGGTCGTTTTGTCGTTTTCCGGACTCTGGGATATTAGGCCCCAAGCGCCCATTGATAGACTAGCCCTTTTCTTTTTGTTGTGTAACTTACGTTTAGTTAATTTCGTTTGGGTCTTCCATTTTTTGTATGGGATTTTGCCCTCATTTTTGGGACCGAGGCAAGCAGCCCCTGCCCAGTGACGTACCCACCGCTGGCCACTTTTTTACCAGATTCGAGAACATCTCGGCCACGCCTGACAAAGAAGACCTATAGGTTTAGTATTTATGCGCAAAATATCTGTAAATACTTCGGGCGTATACCATGGTAGATGTGTCTCGAAAAATGATTTCGTCAAGTCGTATTTAAGATTTGTAACATACTTTCTCTTTTTCATTACTTGCACTCCAGTGGACTGTGTCAGAAAGAGTGACTGCCATTTGGCTGCGACATTACCCTGCCAAATCAGACATATCTTTCATCATTTTCAAAGAAATTGTACAAAATCTTCAAATTTGTGAAGTTAGCGAGTTTCACTTCATACGTTGTTACCAGACATGTCCAAATCATCAGTTGCTCCCGTGATATTCATCCCGACCACTGGAATTCCACGGCTAGGCGAAATTTTTATTGATATTGCAGCGGGTTTTGCTATAAATCATATGTCACAGTGTTTGTGCACTGATTGCAAGGGTTAGATGATACCAAAAATATTTTCATAAATAGGAGATCTTTCCCATTCCGGATCGAACTATCTACCATATAATCATGATACCTAGTAAATTTTCACGAAAAAATTCAAAACCAGCAAATGTAAAAGATTCATTTCGCACCCTCCACCACGAGACGAGGTCGTCGTTAGACTTGGCAACCCTGCGAGTGACAGATAGATATCCCCGCCAGTCAAAAAGACAAACAATAAACATTACTAGTTTTTATGATTTTTGGACTTCAAAGACATTATTTGTGAAACATTTTTCATAATTTTTTGTCTATGTCCGTAGTAATTGCATTATGCACCAGGGAGATGTAGGGATTGACACGTCTTACACATATTATCTGTGTTTTAGGATGGAGAGGACATAATGTTTTTATAGCTTTGAAGAAATTCATTAACCTATAAATTAATAAATGATCTATTATGACGTAAAGGAAGATGAGGAATTGGATGGAATGTATTTTATATTATATGTTCTTGTAAAAGACAGACAAATCCGCACTATTCAACAGGTATGTAATGATAACTTTCAGTATATTGAAGTTGGTAAATTCAAGAGTGCCATGCATTAACAAACGTCCAAATCTGCTGCCAAATTTAACAGCTAGAAAATCGACCTATTATTTGCCGCATTCCCATTCGCTGAGGCGGATAACGGATTGTTAAATGTAAACCTATAACATATATCAAAATACATGAATGTTGTCCTGTTTTTTCTGAACAAAAGCATCATGTTGGAATCAAAAAGTGGTCTTGTTTATAATACAGTCGAATTTTCACGATTTTATTCAATATTTCAATAGAAATTGCATTTCAATAAGGTATTTTCCCATTGGTCCATAATATTAATGTTGGTGAAATTGGGCCTTAGTGAAGCAGATGGATAAGACCTTCCACTACGTCATCCCAATAGATTCAGACGCTACCTTCAATACACGTCACTCTGCTGGACTGATTTCCAACCCTCTTAACCAAAATTAGTGGTCACTAGATGGAGGCTTTACTTAGGTTTCAATTTCCAATGTGCCATTTTGTCCACAGATGGCTTGAATTGTTCTCCAACACTTTATAACAAAAAAATCGAAGTCATTGTCAACGTTATGCTGAAAAGCTGCTAAGAAGAATTTATTGATTCCCTCTTCTATCTTCCATCCTTACACTATATTCTTGTAATTAACTTTTTTGTAGAGATCATCGATGTATATATACAACGTTGCCCATCCCTATACTCGTCTCTCTCCGACTACCCTGTCGTTGTGGCCGGGGCTCTTGATTAATGCAACCACTTTACATTAACAATCCCGTAAATGCAAATTTACAACACTCCACGCCTCACGCCGCGTGACTATCAAAGAAGATCCACCAGTCCTTCGTATGCAACCAGTTTACGTAAATATTGATATTGTGAAGGTCTCAACAGTCATGTGAACAAGATGAGATGGAAGAAATATCTCAGAGAAATTTAAAAAAATATATAAACAACCCGACTACAGTAACTGAAAAGAATTAAGATTTGATTGTGCTATCAAGACGAATTTTAGGACACCTCAAATGTCAAAATCCGTCAAGCCGTTCGACAGGTTTGGATCCATTACGACGTCTTGCGAGTGATGCAAGTAGCGTGGGTGACCTACTTTCAGGGGGTACTGTCAAACCGTATGCGCTGAGAATAAAGTAATTAAGAAATGAAATAATAAACAGCAGTGGAAGAACAGAATATACATTTATTTTAAGCTTTCAAACAAAACAGAATGTGGTCTCCTTCTGTCTTCTTTCCTCATTTTTTCCTGAAAGACTGAGGCCTTGAGGGGGGAGGGGGCGGCACTGCGCCGCGCCTGCCGTTTAGGCCGTAACCCGTGAAACAAAATTCTAAAAATTGAATATTGCGTTTAAAATCCGTCATTTTGGTTTTTTAACGTTTGTCGATCGCACTGTCAAGGGACCTCATATGTGCAAATCAAACAACACGTTTAAGCTATATCCCGTGAAATAGGAATTTCTATGTTGATTCTTTTTAATCCCAGGTTTTGATTTCATCAAATTTTAGTATTCCTAGTGTCACTCGTACTACCAAGGAAAATCTAGAGATAGATCTTACATCAAAATCGATCAAACCCTTTAAGCTGTACGTGAAATGGGAATTAGAAGGTTGACTTTTTTATTAAAATCCGCCATTTTGATTTTGTGAAAGTTTAATATACCCAGTCTCACTGACACTACTGTGACAAGTCCAACAATATCTCCTCAAGCCGTTTGGACTGTAGACCGTAAGATAGAAATACATAGCCCTCTTTCTGAGGCAGTCGCTTGAAAAAATATTATCTTCGGCACGGATTTACTAAAGCTTTTGGACTTTCGAAATCCAAATAAATCTTGAAGGTTTCAAACGTTTGACCTGTTTCTCCGTTCTGCTCTTATCGTCCTCAATCTTATGTATCACGAAACGTCTATCACATGCAAATTCACCAGCAGGATGTCGGCAGTCGAATTAGCTCTAGACCTCTTTGTTAGTAACGCCTGTAACAATATTTTGTGATAAAAGAGTAAAAGCATAGATAAAATGCCTGGATCTAGAAAAACACGGGAAATTAGAAATTTACATAACGCTGGACACATCGGAATGTTTGTACTAATCGGCACTCAATTATTGACAGTTGAGAATGATTAAAAGTATACCACAGAAATTCTTTGGAATTTAGGCCAGCTACTTGTCACCCGGACTCGGACTTGTATGTACGAGGTTTGTCCATATAAAAGTGGAATAATAACTTTATTTTACAATTGTTCAGGTATTTCAATATGGTCTCCTTCAAAGTACTACCACTGAGACAATATGCACTTCTGCCAACGCCGTTCCCACTGTTGATACGGTCGTCTTCAATTGTGAGGCTCTTCATTTGCCGCATCGTTTCTGCCATGATGGCTTCCACGTCCCCCAAGTGCTGTCCCCGAAGCAACATTTTGTTTTTTGAGAACAGAAAGAAGTCGCTAGGGGCTAAATCGGGTGTTCTGTCACGGCGATTGAGCTTCGGGCTAAAAACTCACGCACAACGAGAGACGTGTGAACAGGCGGGTGATACACCTGCCCCCTTGTGCCAAATCCGCTCGAACTCGGGCTACACGAGCTCTGAGACGACGCAAAACTTCAATGTAGAGATTTCCGTTCACTTTCTGGCCGGTAGGGACAAATTCCTGGTGAATTTGATTTTTTCGACTTTTTTGTTCTGGTCTCCCCTGCTCGTTTCCACTCCATGCTTTGAAATTTCAAGCTCCACATCGAATTCGTAGAACCAAGACTCGTCTCCAGTGATGACCCGGTTGAGAAAGTCCCCCCTTTCCTCCGCTTCCAACCAGTCCCCACAGCAAGCAACCCTCCTTGCTTTCTGTTCTGGAGTCAAGATCTTAGAACGATTTTCGCGCACAATTTTTTCATTTCAAGTTTTTCTTTCACAATTTCGTGGGCGATTGTTTTGAGGATTTCCAGTTCCTCAGCTATCATTCTATCTGTCAATCGACGGTCTTTTAAGAACACACCCCCAAATTCATTCAACATTTCCCTTAGAGCTCGATGTGGAGGGGCGTCCTGCGTGTTGGTCATCTTTCACATCTTCTCGGCCTTCCCGAAACATTTTCAACCACTTGTCGATGGTTTGTTCCTTCCGAGAATTGTCTCCAAACACTCAAAAATTTCACAACCATTCTTGCCTAGCTTTGCAAGGAACTTGATGTTGATGCGCTGTTCTTCGATCAGGGAGAGCTCCATGCCGATGACAGGTTACTTTCAACAAGCACACGTAAATTCTACTTACTAGCGGAGCGGTCCGGCTCGAACCTCGAACTGAGCGTAGAAGGAATTGCATAGAGAGAGGGAACCACCTGGCCACCCCTCCGCAACGCCTTGACACGACGCCCCAAATTTTTATGCGTGGGTCCTATGGTACAAACTAGACCAATGAAAAGGCGTTTTAGATCTATTCTTACAGAAATTTTATAATTGTTCTCTAGTTTGAGGCACATTTTACACTAAGGGTGGATTTCACCATGGTTGTCAAATTAACAGTCCGTTATTCTCCACCTATATGGTAACAGACCGTCAAATACAGCGAATGAACTTCAAGTTCCAATCAACAAATTTTAGCAACCAATAGCTATGTAATGTTGAAACCAAATACTGTCAAAGAATGAGATGGCAGCTTGTCATTGAAATATCACCAGCTTTTTGAATATTAAGAAATTATATATAATTTGGTCAAAATTTGAAAAAGTATTCGATTTTTGAATAAAATTCATATTTTTATTTAATATTTTCGATTGTTTATTCATGTTTATATTACTTTTCTTCAATTGATACGCGATTTTACTGATTCAACATCACCTACCGTGTGTTCTTTTCCTATAAACCTATTGCAGATAGAAATTAAACACCTACTGGATGACAGACTCTACCAAAAATTTCATAGATATTGCTCGTTTCCAAACATTCATTCATTTACTTGAGGTTCATTAGAACCATTATGGCACCTTAATAAAAGTTGAATATTTTTCGTTGTCCAGGAACTGAACAAACATCCGCACTATATTTACAGCGATTAAGAAATACCCAAAAACTAGAAATTTGCAATATTTTTTTTTTCAACGGGTACACATTCTAGGTTATATAATTAGACATTATTTGAATAACAGCTGATTATTTCAAAACTCCCCAAAGAGTGACATGTGTGGGATCCGTCAACCCTTGGTCCCAGTCACAAAACATATACACTGAAGAAGGTCAATGACAACACGGTGACTTGGGTGGTTGTCAGCGGCCATTTTTTGAGGGTGCGACATGGTTGCCAGATTGTGCATTAATATCCCGTTTCACCCGCCGGGTTCCAGTGGAGTAGGCTGCGCCAACTGTTGATATATAGGCTACTATGGTTTATAAGACTATACGTGGAATTTTTCCCATAATCGTTGTACAACACTTGAAAAAATGCAAATGAAAATTTAAAATTATTTCCATGACGCCGCAAAATAGCTCTGTCGGTTACTGGGTTTATACATCTTGAGAGTAAGCATGTTCGATACGATCCTATATGACTGGGTCAGAAAGAGTGACTAACTCCAGATTACTTTTCTCCTTTGTTTTCTTCCGCTGGATATCGATAATTTTATTCCAATATTTTAGAGTATCGATACTTCCTAAAACGATAAGAATCGATACATAACGATACTTTTCTTGGATCTAAACATCCCTAATCTTGACAGCTTGTCGTTCTTGTCAACTGGGCTGCATGGTGCGGTTTTGCCTTTACTATCTTACATTTTGCTAAAATCTTATGACAAATAAAAGCTTCAAATGCAATATTGACGAATATGAACTGATATGCATAGAATTTAGAATATGAATTCATATTGCAAATTTCTTGAACCGGATTTTTCGGTATTTTTACCGAAAAGAGAATATTTACCGATAACATCATTCTCCACGATTTTTCAGAATAATTTAAATATTTCTATACTTGCCGAAAAAGAACTGAAACCAAAAATAAAGCTAAAAGGTAATTTTATGTAAGCTTCATAGTTTTATGCCCCATATCAATCATACATATGCATACACACTCAGGCAGTCGGGCACATGAGAGGGGTAGATTTGGGTGGCCTATGATTACGAACGCACATCCTCATCCCTTACTCCGCTTGCCCTGAATTGATTTTTGTCCATACAAAAGGTACAGACTCGTAGATTACCGTCATTACCTCATCACCGGACAAGCAATAAAGAAACCGAAACCTGCCTGTTTTCAAAATTAATTCAAATAAGAGGTGAGTTCATGAGTCAAGGGTAAAACTGAAAGATATTCACAATACTATAAGCAAGAATCGAAAAAGGAGTTTCCAGAATGGTTGCAAAGTACTTTGAAAGAGAGACCAGTATGCACATTGTAGAAATTGTAATATAGAACTATGCCCTCAAAAAACATGTTTTGTGCGCGCCCAATACAATAACAGACGTTTTTCGTAACTCAAAGGTCCTTGATCTACCACTGATCTTGGGACGGCACTTACCTTATATCGAATTCAACGACACTATTTACCAATTCCGTTTTTTGCCGGCTCGGCAACACTGCAGATGTGCAGATCACTTTAATTAAAAGCAACTGATATCCCAGACGTGTTCTAATAATAAAAATAAGAAAATTAAACAATGTTTGGAGATGTGTTTTGATAAATAGGATTTTTTGAATCTGACTTATAATCTCTAGACGATGAATAATAGGTAGATTCGGATACTTTTACAAATATCGATGTTTTAGGTCACAGAAATGCTGAATGTGCTGTTTGTTTACATTTGGTTTGGATTTCTAGATCATAAATTGGCAAAAAATATTTTTGATGTAACAAAAGATGATGAACCAGTTGGAATACGATTTATATCCTTTTTTTTTGCAAAATAACAAAAATCGGTACATTTCTACAGGTACGTATTATGTACAACACCCTGTACGTGATATACAGACAAAACTAGATTGCTAATTGCCATGCATGAACAGTCGTCAAAAACAGTGAAAACATCCTACCAAATATAATATACTAAGTGACATATAAATCCGAACACCCAGTTTAAATGGTTTTATTTTAATAAAAGTTGGTGAATGTATTTATCTTACTGTAAATAACAAGTGAAAAAAATTTCAGCCTTATTAGTTGGACATTCCGGTTTTTATACTGATTTTTTTTAATTCACTAACGCTCTAAAAATGAATATTTCAGCCGCAGTAAAGAATCAACGTTGGCGGATTTTGGTTCTTGACATCCTTTACGATCGGTTACGATGCCTAGAGTACGGAGACCTGTACGATTTCGTCAACTTAGTGAGTTTGATAGGGGCCGGATAGTGGGACTTCAGGAAGCTGAACTTTCTTTTCGGGCAATTGCAGTTAGAGTGCAAAGAAGTGTAGACACTGTGGTTAGGTGTTGTCAGGCATGGCTTCGAGAAGGCCGTACGCAAAGAGCAAGGGGCACTGGACGCCGCCGTACAACAACAGACCGTGAAGATCGCCGCCTAAGATTATTGGCCTTAAGGGACCGTTTCTCCACTACCAGGTCCATTGCAAATGAATGGTTTGCAGAACACGGAAGACCTATTGGCATGCGAAGTGTTTACCCACGAATGAGAAGTTTTGGCTTGTTTTCATACCGGCCACACTGGGTCCTCCCTTTAACTCGAGAACACGGACGTAATCGCCTTGAGTGGTGCAGACAACGGTCACTCTGGGATCAGGAATGGAACAGTATTGTCTTTAGTGACAAGTCTCGATTTTGTTTAGGCATGCACGATGGTCGTGCCAGGGTTAGAAGGCGACGTGGTGAAAGGAGGAATCCACAGTTTTTTGTTGAAAGACATGTTCATCACACTGTTGGAGTTATGGTTTGGGGTGCTATAGCTTATGGTTCCAGGTCGCCTTTAATCTTCATCAGAGGTAACATGAACGCGCAGCGTTATATCCACGAAGTTCTAGAACCCCATCTTTTACCCTATCTTGACACCCTGGCAGATCCAACTTTCCAACAAGATATTGCCCGACCACATGTTGCAAGAGTCACAATAGACTTCTTTCAACATAATGATGTCACATTGTTACCATGGCCACCAAGATCTCCCGACTTATCCCCAATTGAGCACGTGTGGGATATGATGGGTAGGAGATTGCTCAATTTGGGCCGATTATTTCTATCATTTTGATTGGTCCATTTACATAACTGACCGGATTTTGTGAAACTGGAAATTCTATGAAAGTTATACTAATTCTAAAGCACAATGACATAATATTACATCTTCTACAGCCTTATTTCTAAGGCAACCATTTTTTCACGACTTTATTCAACATGTCAATAGAAATCACTGATATTCAGAGACCTTTGAAAGCTTCTGTCAAATTGCATTTCGATAAGCTATTTTCCCATTGGTCCAAGGAACCGTCAAATATTAATGTTGATGAAATTGGGCCTAAATCGATCATATTCATTAGATCTATTACTTCAAAAACGCCTTCTCATTGATCGAGTTTGAGCCATAGGTGCAAATTTGCAGGTTAGTAAAATCGGGCATTAACGTGTTATTGACATTTTTTGTGATAAACAGATCCGGGTTTATTGTATAGTAATTTACCAACCACAAAGTTTTCTCCGGAGGCGTGTTGTGTGTATGCATACATGGGCAGACCGTTATTAATTTTCGGACTTTTTAATGCGCCATTGCTTTGAGGTTATTACCACCTATATGCATCGCGTTTAGATTAAAATTCTCTTTATAAGCACCACCAGCGTTAATACAACGCTGTTGGCGAACAAAAGAAAACACATGCTGCGATGTGGACATCAGGACCGTTGTCGAAAGCATGATATAAAATTCTAGCCTTTGATACCTTAGTGATTCTAAAATTTAAATCCAACTATGTTGGAATTAAAAAATCCATCACCTCATATAATCAGCAATGAGACGTAATTCCGTACACGTCAATCGTTGAACAAGTGGTCGTGGTGCAGTTTCTTTGGTGAGAACGCTTGTATTTGAATTCACGTATCGGCACGGGTATCGCGTATCTTGAAAAGTGACATTATGCCGATTTTTTTTGACATTATGCTGGTTTTTTTGACATTATGCAGGTCATTCTACAAGATGTTAACTTAGCACTTAGTTGTACGTGTTGCCTAAACGTCATGATGCTTTAGTTATTAATGTTTGGCTCTGATGTGATGTAAAATCTGCTTCTTAGATGGCATTACTGGAAGTCTATGCTGTAAGTTGTATGTGTTGATGATAATTACATTGGGTTATTGTCTCAAACTCACTTAATTGAGATTCAAAGCTAGAAATTAGTTGCGCATCCACTTTTTCTTATCCATTCGGGCAATTACATATACAAATTTGCTGAATTTAAAAAATGAGAGAGATAAGAATTAATTACATTCACTATACACTGTCGAATTACAAGCCATATACATACTAACAGTAATGACCCACAACGCGGGTGCGGTGATGATTTTCCGTAATTCTCCTCAGTTTTTCGTAATTTATAACGTTGAACAGAACCTCTCTTATAACATATAAATAACCCGTCATATTCGGCTTATTCACTAATGATTTTCTCACAGCAAATATCACTGATTTTATACACATGCAGACCAATACACATAATCATGCAGATGTGATCTTGCTATTCAACCAACTTTCTTCTCAGAGGTAAAAACTGCAGACCCGGATCACTTAGCCTCACAAAACTATGCAACCAATAATGCGTAGTTCAGTTGAGTGATTCCTCCATGGATGGACGTTCACAACGATCCAGTGAGCAAACGTGGAATGACTGTTTGCGCCCTAAAAAGTACCTAGTCTGCAAGTTGACATCTTATAGGTTTTTTTTGACGTTTTATAGGTTTTTTACATGATACCCGTGCGGGTCGCGTTGCAGCCGCCAATTGTTTTCTGTGAGAACTGTCCCTCTTTTTACTGGTTTATTGTTAAGTACCAAAATGGAAGAGAATATCATTATTGATATCAACACATGCACCTTCATTTACAAGACATTTCTAAAACTAATTCTTGCATTTGCTGTCCCTGTGTGGGAAACTGTGCTTGGGTACGACAGAAATCTCTTGAAGCAGTACAACGTCAGGCAACTCGAATCCCGAAGCTCGTAGATCCAGGTATGAAGATTGCTTCGAGTTATTCCACTTGACCATATTTTTCGACTGAAGAATTCTAGGCGATATCATAGTTACCTCTAGAATACTTCATGGCTTGATTCGCATCAACCAAAAGCACTCATACCAACTTTCATACAGCTTTAAACTGCAAAAGGAGCCGTTTAGTACGACAGTCCGTCAGTGGTTTCTCCCCAATCGCGTATTCAACACATGAAACAGTTTACCAGAGAGTATGGTTAATGCTGCATTAGTCAATAGCTTCAAAGGTTATTATGATATGTGGAACAGTGTACGAGGGTGGTCCCAGATGTACCCGACCCAACAAAGAAAACACAAATTTTTTGTAAAAAAATGTATTTATTTTTCAACATAATCTCCTTTGAGCTCTATACACTTTTCCCAGCGATGTTCAATAAGTTCGATACCCTTTTATAATAAGAACTGTCTTGCTCCTAAAAATAGCCATTAACTGCCGATATTACTTCTTCATCGTTGGAAAATCTTTGACCACTGAGCCATTTTTTCAAGTTTGGAAACAGAAAATAATCCGAGGGAGCTAAATATGGTAAACAGGGTACATGAGGTAGCAATTCAAACTTTAATTCGTTAATTTTGGCCATTGCAATAACGGATTTGTGAGCTGGTGCATTGTCTTGATGAAACAATACTTTCTTCTTAACCAAATGCGGCCGGTTTTCATTGATTTAATCGCTCAAACGTTGCAATAAGTTCGCAGAATGCTCGTCGTTGATAGTTGTTTTCAGATAATATGCGATGAACCGCACTTTTTGAAACGCCTAGTATGTCTGATAGCTCGCGCACTTTCAGTCGACGATCATTCACCATTTCTGGAGTCGTCACCTCATTTGGTCGACCACTGCGATGTTCGTCTTGGCAGCTCATACGGCCTGTTTAAACGCTGCTACCCAATATTTTACTGTTGTAAACGAAGGAGCAGACTCACCCAGAGTAGAATCCAGTTCAGAGCTTATATTGGTTTGGCTGAGGCCTTTGAAATAAAAGTATTGTACCACATAACGGTGACCAATTTTCTGCATTTTCAGAAATTCACTGAAAACGTTCAGTATTAATGGCTGTCAAACAAATACTAAACAACGTGGCGTCTTCAAACTTGACACATATGCTTTATAGGTTACATACTTTCTAATAGAATGATATTTTTTAAACAACTATCGCCATCTCTAAGTCAGGCCGGGTACTTCTGGGACCACCCTCGTACAAACTTTAAGCTATGAACTTTTTGTTTCTATTTTATGCTCTTTCCTATTTTATAATAATGATAATAATAATGCTTGAGTTCTCACCGTACTCTCTTCCATTTTAGTACTTGACTGCAGATAGAAGATTTTCGGTATGATCCTATAGGACCGTAGTATAATGACGTATCCCCTATTGGTCCCGCAGGTTGTTCGGCAGCAGCGGCGCGTGTTCGGCGTGCGGCCAGACCATCCCCGCTTCAGAATTTGTGATGCGGTGTGGGGGCCCCGGGGGCCAACAGCAGCCCCACCAGCCCCAACCGCCGCACGTCTTCCACCTGAAGTGCTTCATGTGCAGCAAATGCATGGCGCCCTTGGTACCCGGCGACAGGTACTACATGCTCAGCGGGAGTTTGGTGTGCGAGCAGGACTGGCACAAGTTACTGAAGAGTACGGCAGCCGCTCAACAGCCTCCAGTCAGGAAAGGGAAGGTGGGGAGGCCCAGGAGGAGTCGCGATTGAAAGGATCTCAACTACGAAGCAGGTAAGCTTCCTTATCCCAATTCTTACTTATTAAGTGATCAAAAACATCAGGAACCGAATAGTGTGCGTTATATCTTCTATCTTCTTCTATCCACCGGGAGCAAAGTGCATCGATCGTCACGCAACACTGTGAACAAAAACGTCGTCGTCGTGGTAGTCGAATATAGGCGTGGTGTCAGTGGTGAAATCAGTGTCATGTAGGTTCATCTGGGGCCTGGTAATGGTGCATATTACTTACTTAATATTAATTTATAACTACACACTGCCGTATATCATTGATTAACGTTTAAAACCAGAATATAGCTAACCTCATTGAGCAAACCGACGCCTAGGTACAAATTGCGCTGTTACAGCGATGTTGTCAAATGGAATCGGAGTAATTTCCTTAGAATTGATAAAAATACGAGTATACTGCATTTCCTTCAAAAAAAAAGAATTATTTATTCTTAAACATCAACCGTCAACCCACCTTCCTCTACAATTGTTAGTAGCGTTGTCATTATTTTTCTATTCTAACTCTGAAATTGAAGTTTTGTCACTTATTTTAATTCAATATTTAATCATAAACAGCTTTTGTTTCTTTATTGCTTGTCCAATGACACGGTAATGTCAGTAATCTACCAGTGTATCAGTCGGTACCTGTTGTCCGCACAAAAACCAATACAGGGGTAGCGGGGTAAAGGATGTGCATAAATAACTATAGGCAGTCAGAATGTACCTCCCTCGTGTGCCCGACTGCCAAAATGTACGAACTTGTATGATTAAAATTACACAGACTGCATAGAATTCGCTTTATTTTTGTTTTAGCTCCTTTTCGGTAATAAATTTGGAAATATTTGAATTATTTCAAGAAAATCGTGGAAAATGTGGACGTTTTCGATCGATATTCCCCTAAATGTGTCATTTCGGTAGAAATACCGAAAAATCGGTGGGTTCGGCAACACTGTTACTGAGTGTGAAGTGCTGGCAACGTGGCACCTAACAATTCGACAACACCGCACATTTAACCTATGGACGGTTTTCTGCAATCTTCATAGCTTTACTTATAGTTGTTTGTAGTAAAGCTATGCTAGAGCGGTATGATAGGCAGATGTCGCGAGTAACTTTAGCAAGCAAGTCTGAAGGAAGGATTAAAGCATGGAGTGGACTATCTCCAGGTGGAAGACGTTACTCAATGCTTATACACTGAGAACCAAATACCACTGACATCGTAATGTGAGAAGCGTGCCATACGTGTGTTAGAAAGAGACAGAAGCGCCTTGTTGCCTAGCAACCTGCGTACGGGGTCACGATGCCATGGGCGCTGTTTCTAACATACATATTGCACGCTTCTCTCTCGTACACATTATGACGTCAGCCAAAGTTGAACTTCACCATATACAGTAACATGTGAAGATCACCATATCGAACAATCTAGAAGTAAACAAAACGTATAGCTATCTGGCAACTAACTGACAACACACCTAACCTAAAATTTGATAGCACACGACAGAAGTTAAACTGTGGGCATTACAATACATCTATATTTCGTTGTCATCTCTGTAAGATCAAAAGATAATTAGCTGTTTGAAATAATTCGAATTCTTCCTACTCTCAAATCGGACAAGTGCTATTTTTATGGACATCCGATTCTTTGTAAATTGTCAAAGACAAATATTCCTGTCCGATATTCGATCAGTGGCACTATCAACGCAACGAGCGAATAGGTACCATACCTGAAGCATGGACACTTACTAAAGCAATACTTGTGGGTACATTTTTCTGGGTGGATAAGATCGCAAAGATAGAAGTCCTTTCCCACATTAACTGATCCACGGAATTAATAGCAACTATTATCAATTAGTTGCTGTTAAAATTTCTTTGAATTATGCAGTGTCCTTCAAAAGTTATTTTGGAGCAATCTGTCTATAATATCTCAGTAAAGTAGCTTCGTATGACCTTTTAGTGACTTTATTTTTTGTGTATATGTTATATGAAAAAAAATGAGGCCAGTTCATTTTAGAGGCTTAACCCTCTAGAATAACCGGTCTGTTAGATATTGCAAGTATTATTGTGCTATCCGTGATGCAAGGTCACAAATTGACACGCTTGAAATGAACCGATCTTTAAATGTCAAGATCGAATCGTAAATGCTCGATTTACGGTTCCGTTTCAGAAAGATCCGTTTAATTTTAATCATACACCACTAACGAAATAAGATATAGAAAAGTGCAAGTGAGTACCGTTGGTTGCTGCATATGGGGCAGTTTTGTGAAATTTATGTTATAATAAAACTTTATACCGGCGTAAAATGTGTCTACATTATGCACATATGCATAAATTGAAGCGTTTTTGATATATATTGGCTGCCACACATGTTACAGAAAGGGGTGCATTTAGGGAAATGCAATAAATATCAGGATAACTTTCAAGATCCGTGACATACCTATAAGAGAAAGATGTTCCACTAACAAAGCTCTTTAAAATGATGTCCTAAAATATGTTTGGCTACGCTCAACAGCATCATACTTTGAAAAGTAAAAAAATTATGTTCTTCGCCTAAATAATGATATGCACGGTGTAAACGTTATGATAGTCATTATTAAAATGGATGATAGAGGGGGTAAAAGAATCAAAAAGTTTCATATAACATGGGGGTCAAAAAGGCATTTTTTAGAGAAAAGCGACTTTAAAGTAAAAAAAATCTGACTACGCCGCAATGCCAGACGCAAATTACGACGGAACGCAGTGTAAATAAAGATGGAGTTTGTTATTTTTGGCTCTTAGGTATTATTTCATTATTCGATAATGTAAGGTAGAATGCAAACATTTAAACGAAACGGACTTACCACTAACTGCCTCAGCGCTTCACCTGCTGTGTGAGAGTTTATTGAATGTATCAAAAAATCCACTTATAAATAGGGAACACAATTTTGATACATACATTGTTTTTCTTTTTAAAACCCACACGGCACTTTTTTGGAATAAAAAGATGTTCAAAATGTCGTCCTCCACTTTCCACACAAGCTTCGACGAACCCAGTTTCTTCTTACTCTAGGTCCTCGAAGTTGTCCATTTATTATTTCAGCCGCATTAAATTTTTTTTTGCGGAGTTGTGCTTCAGTTGTTATTGGACCAGCCCCATAAGCCATCCCTTTAAGTTCTCCCCAGTACCAGAAATCCACCGGATTGAGGTCAGTAGATCTTGCTTGCCATTTTCGAGGATCAGGAACATTTCGACCGATCCAGCAATTTGGATAATGCTCATTCAGATACTGAATGACGCCTCTAAAATTGTGTGGTGGTGCCCCGTCATGAAGAAACCACAAATTCTGTCTCCGTTGTAATGGCGTGTTGTCTAAGGTCTGTTCCAAAAGTTCTGGTAGGTTATTGGCTAGAAAGCTAAGGTATCCTTCTCCTGACAACTTTGGGGGTAACTCGAAAGGGCCAGTTACCTGATCGACAAGAATACCCGCCCAAATATTTATTTTGAAACTTTGTTGGAAATGACCTTCACGAATGGTATGATGATTTTCTTGGGCCCACGTGTGAGTATTATGGAAATTTAATATCCCGTCTCGCGTAAAAGTACATTCTTAAAGTATATTCTATTGGTGCAGAATAACTGTTTGTCAAATGGTGCAATCGGCCCTAAAAGTTGTAAACTATAAAGCCATTTAGATAAAAATCTATTGACTTTTGGACCATGGGTCATATGAACGTTTTGCCTTGTTTTGACTCCCCCTATTAGCAATTTCAGTAATGACTACCATAACGTTTACACCCTGTATAGTATTCCGCTTACCACATTTTCTTAATCTTTATCGCCTCCATACAGTGCTTGAAACTATGGAAAAAGTATATGAAACAAGTAGGATTTGTTTCTGAAATAGTGTTTTCAACAATTTTATTTATATTCAGACCGAAATCGTATTCGATACATGGATTTCTGTGTGCCCACGGTACCCATTTTTATTTATTTGAGCTAGTGAATGAACCGTAATTCAATATTGCAGTGATTTGCACATTTTGTATCGGTGTGAGGCGTCCATGAATATTAGGTTCAGCGTATTGGAACGTGGAGGTATAAGACAGGGCCAGCGCTACCTCAGCCTTAATAATGAACTAGTCTTGAGAACTAGAGCGAATACTGGATCAAAGGACGTATCAAACTAATTAGTTAGTTTCACGAAAAACCATCCCACTCGGTGTGTTGGTTTGTCTATTGGTCTGTCTGCCCGCTCATCCTTGGCCTAACTATACTCAGATCTGAATGAAATTGTTACACAGGGTTACTACTATTCCAAGGACCAAAAACTGTTACATTTTTTGAATATCGGTCCATTGGCGGCGAAGAAAAATTGCCAAAAATGTATTAATTAGAAATCGCGCAAACTTGGATATTCCACGTTTCAGAGGTTCCTGATCATCTTTGACAAATTTTTAGGGGTGAAAGATGGGGGGCAATTTTTGGAGGCGGAGGAGGATGTACCTCATTCTGTATTTTAGTATATTAATATATTTCCAACCTCGGTAATTGTGCGCACCTATTAGATATATTTGCCCGTAGGTTTGCCCTTATAACTTGTAAAAATATTTTCAGCAACCTCTCCGTCGCACATGCCATGAGGCACGGGGTTATTTATAAATGCTGTTTCTTTGGTAGTCGATCCGAGTGACTTATAAAAGCAAGCGGCGCAGCAACATACGAGGTGGTCCCGATATCATCTACATGTGTATATGGGCGTTGGGGTGTAATTCAGTGAGTTTATTTGATTTCGTAACGTAATATTATCTATAGTATGATTGTTGACAAGCTTTACACCAGAGCTCCAAAGAAATGAGGCTCCGTGTACGGACTCGCTCATTGCTGCAATCTGAGGATTGTTTTTGCAGAAAAAGCTCAAATAGTGCATTCCGCGTTCTAACAAAACTTACGCCTTTTGTATGTCATTGCAGTGCATCGAAAATTGTACTAGCAGTTGTTTCAAAGGTCCAGGAAGTATAGAGGCAATCTACTTGACGCCATCTTTTGCTATGCTCTCCTGAATAGACTCCAGATTTTTTCTTTTCTACCGCTTCCCATGCACATACTCTAATTAAGTGTATACTAAGGCGCATACGAGTCGCTCGTATATACTATAATCCGTATTTTTAGATTAATTACATTCACATCTACATCCAACGCGCAAATGATGTCACATTATATTAAAATTAAGATTTATACGCCCGAAAATAAACTTCACCGTTCCTATTCGGCCGACTTTCCTAAAATATTTATAAATATCAGCACCACGCAGTTAAACACTTTCGAAATAATTAGAAGGTAGCTTCACTAATGACACGGTTCTTACTCATTCATAGACATATTCGAGCTAATCCCCCTTTGTTATGACAATGTATGTCTTTCGTAAAGGATCTACAAGTAGATAGTTCAAGAATTATCTTGGCTTCCGCTCTCTTCTTCTCTTCTTTGCATAATCTTTTAAAAAAAATGCTTTCAACGAATCTACCTGTTGCCAGTCCCAAAATTGCGCCTTAAATTGTTTAAACAATAAGTAGTTTATAAGATGTTTTCAACATACTCCAAAAATTGTTTGTTTTGCTTCGTAAAAACTTTTTTTAGGTTTTTGGGTCATTCGGAAGAAAAAATGGTTTTAAGAACGAATTTGCATGTTGTCAGGCCCAAAATTGCGTCACAGATAATTGTTGACGAATAAATAAGTTGCTTAGACATTTTAGAAAACAAAATCCTATAATGGGTGGTTTTGCTCAGTAAAACTTTTTTTTTAGTTTTTTTGTCATTCTGAGGAAAAAAGGTTCTTGTAAAATTTCCTCTAATATTTAAAGTTTTCGAGATATAAGCAGCGGTATAAGCGATTTAATAATTGATACAGCGCATAATATAATAATAAAAAATGGCATCAAGTAGGTTGGCTCTGCACTTCCCCGAAATAATTGTAAAATCTGGATTTATTGGTGCAAGTTGTTCAAGGGGGTATTTCAAACATGGACGAATGAAATGGGTACTCTGATTTTTGTGGGAAACCTTTTTATTTGACAACACAGAATGAGAAAACGTGTTTTTTTGGGATTCAATCTAAAGTGTTGACAGGAACGAAAAAACTTTTCATATAAAATTTTTAGGTATTTATGAGACCTACACAATGAGACTACACGTAAAAACATATGACTAATAGCAAAAATGTTATGGCCGAAAAACGAGGCAAAATGCAGGTTTCATACTTCTAAATAACAACAAAATTGAAGTATTGGTCAAGTAGTTCTTTGAGAATTTCTTATTGTTTATCCCATAACACCTGTTTTTCGGCCATCACTTCTAGTTTATTGAGCATTATACAAGGTTCGTTCAAAGAGCATTTTATAGCGAAATACACTAGTTCACCTTGCCGATTGTCAAGTGCACACCACAGACTATGAACGCTCCTTCCTCGTAGACTAAATTCGTTGGTTGCTCTCATTAATTTGAGCTTGTTAGTTTGACGTCAGTTAACTAGATATCAAGTATTTGTAACATAAGTTGGAAACGTCATGATCGTAATGCAAAATCGAATATTTTGTGATAGAAGTGAAAAAAATTCTATCCATGCCGCATTATTGGTCTCACACATTACGCTGGCTACCTTCTCAAACTAGGAATGAAATATACAATTAATTATTTGTTTTCTGCGTCAAATAGTATAAACATTCTGAATATGCGATAGACCATTGAACATTTTTAAATTCAAACATTGTAACCAGGACAGTAAATAACGTTTCAACGTTTTATCAATCAACAAGCTACAGTACAAACGTGGGAACACCGTAATATCACTAGACCAATGATATAGCTTATCTGAACATACGTGAGTGAGCTATTCGACAACAAGAAATTGCGTTTATAGGGGTACCTGTTTTTGTCAGTGGATATGACGTTGAAAACACGCTCGCTATCTTATTATAAAATGGGCCTTTATAATACAGGTGAAATTGACAACATATCACCGCAAAACTCCTTGGACACAGATACAACGACAAAGCACTACGATCAATTAATATGCAGTGTATCGAAAGCATGAGAAAAGTTCAATGGATATTTTTTGTTTTCAAAGATAGAGGGGGAAGTACATTTTCCAGGTGAAGCTGGTTAATCTACAAAAATTGTTTCAAATGGCTACCTCTAGGTAAATCATCTTCTCACAAACTGTAAATTGTGTAGGCTCTAAAAGGCACAATTAGGGATAACCTATGAGGCTTGGAGGAACATTTCACATACGTTGGAAGTGATGCAGTTTTTCGAAAATTGTCGAAGAAAAGTCTAAAATGAATTTTGTCTTATGCTTAGGATACACATTGTTTAAGATGACAAGCTCTCTTGATTTCGGAAATCGGAAACTGTAGAGGAAAAAATACTTCCTATACCGTAAATGCTACAATACATTTGTCTTTATCTTCGAGTCCTTCCTATTAGGATTGGACCGGAAATTTACGTCTGAAAAGAGGTTGTAACACCATCTAAAATCTCATTAAAAACCTACACAAATAAATTTTGGGAGTGCGTAACAGCTCTAAGTTCCCAAATGTGATTTTTCTAGTAGATTTGAAAAATTATTGCTGAATAGGCTAATAGGAGATCTGTCTGGTATTACAATCCCTACTTTTTCAGTTAGATATTCGATGGTTGCAACCTTCACTCTGGTGTTATACATTAAGCGATGCTATATTTACTCAATTGTTGTGAAATCTAACTGAAAACTTGCATAAATATGATCAATGAATGTATTCTGTTTGACAGTCCAAACAACGTATATATGTTGAAATGGAAGTAGGGATTTTCTTCGACTCCTGTACTATAATGGCAAATTCACACTTCGGCGCTGTTTCGTATCGAATGGCGCTATTCACGGTGAATAAAGAGGCAGATAAACTATAAAACAAATTGAAACAATGAAAGTTACTTAAACCTACGTGAAATTACTAAAACTTAACGGCAGTTTTATTATATTTCGAATGTACGAAGGTGCTTAAGCTCCTTAATCTATATCTTAATGCAGGAAAGAGGTCCGATAAACAGTTTATTTATTAGTAAACGTTATTTGCTCTTATCGACACTTCGGCATCAAAATAATTTAGTGGATTAAATTTGAATGCTGATAAATAATGCATAAGGTAGTTCTCGATGGCGAATGTCGCCTCCTTGTGCTATGCCTGGTTTGCACGAGTGAATAAAACTATAGGGATGGGGGTAATATTGAGGCAATACATGTTCTGTCATTAACTGGAAGAATAAACTTATGATCTTCAGAGACAGAGAATAACGGACCAGCAAAGATCTGAGACCTACTGATTACGTGGGAGAATGCCAGTGTTACAGTTGCAAGTGCACAGCAAGATATTACAGTCATCAAAGGTAGAAACAAATATTGTCTGCAAGTAGATTGACTGTTTTTCAATACAAGCGATATCAGGTACTCCCGTTCCAGGCGTTTGTCAGTGAACTTGCGAAGTTAATTCCACCGGACTGTTTTCGCTAATCCGTCAAGCGGCAGCGACTACTACCCTTCGAGGTGTTTTCCAAATGAACTTTGGGAGTCAATTCTCTCAAACTATAGCCGTTAATCCGCCTGACGTCATCAACTACTTCCAGTGGAGGCGTTTGTCGAATAAACTTGGGAAGTTAATTTCACCATACTGTATTCTCCAGTTCTTAGTGTTGGAAAAAATTTCGTTCATAGGAGAAGCCACACTGTAGCAGTACCAAATGCAAACTGCCAGTCAGAGAGCTGCCCTCATTCCAGAACTTTTTGTTGCTGCGGCCATCCAGATCGTTTGGATTGACCACTCATATATCGGTTACGACTGACACTGGTCATTATTTCCGGGATTGAAGGCCAACCATCCCGAAGGCAAATGTAACTCAAGTTCCATTGACCCGGGCCTGAGCTAAATTCGCGTAATACCTATGCATTTATATCCTACATCTAAAAGTATAACATTCTAAGAATTAGTGGATTATAAAATTTCGAAAAATATTTTCTTGTCGTTGCCTCACATACAAAGGAACTTACACATCAGAGGTACGTGCAAAATTTTGCCTATGACCGGTTAGACTTAAAAATTCAAAGGTATAGGACTAAAAACAAATAAATTGACCATACTGTTGCATCACCGGTAGTTGTGCATTAAAACAATTATCTTAGTCTAGAAGAGGACTTGTACAGTGTATATTCTCCACCATAAATTTGGTTCTGTTGTGAACATGGGTGTTTCGACCATAACCTACTTCGTTCTCTGCGCTGTACGTACAATACAGCATCATCCATTTTGGTCATCTCCAACGGATAAAACCTTTGATTTGTAATGGGAGATTACATGCCCGACCTCTGGTTGTTGCTATCAGGTATAATATATAATTCACCGTACAATATCATCAGGTACCAGGTATGTTGCCTAACAACAAATAAATAAGGACAATTTTTGTGATCGATGAGTATGAGTCAAACTAAAGATATCTGGCACTAAATTAATAACTTTAAAGTATTACCGCCCTAGGGCGTAAATAAGTCTGTGAGGTAAATAAATGTTGGACCTCAAACCATTCATCAATTACACTTTTCCGCCCAGTCGTAGATAAAATATAAAATCGGGAACACCCTCCGAATATTTCAAGTGCATTCATCGGCTTGCATTTTGCATACATCCTTTTGTAGCGATGCTGGTGTTTTGTGGTGTGCACATTGATGCAATTTTTATGTGCTGGCCGACCGCAGCTGCGGCTGCGACTATTGGCTGTGAAACCACAAATGATCATAGGACATACGCACGTTATTCAATGGGAAAGGACTGTTTCTGTTCAGGCATATGTAGTTAAAATATTCATCATTTCTTAGTGGTCCAGTAAACGTGATATTTTTGCTCTGTTGTTGAAAAGTATCGATAGTTGCTCATGAATCTCTATGAATAGAAGCGAAGTAAATAGTGAATACTGAGATTACTTGGTCACAAAAACAACTACAGATAGACCGTCAGACAGCACCGACGTACAGTGGTCTAGAAGACCCAAAAAGTTGCCAAAAAGTAAAAAAATGGAAATTGATGAAATTTATTATGTACCTGAAAGTTGATACTTGGAACAGTTCGTTGGGCATGACAGCAAGTCCTTGTTCATGCTACGTTCGCTTTGAAGGATCGTAAACTTGAAGTGTGTGGTAATTCGTTATAACTTTTTTGTGGTATAATCCGTGACTTTCTAGATTATCCATTTGATTTGAAAAATCTAAGATATGTCGATATGGATTCTACTGAAGATATTTTATCTGATGTATAATAAACACGTGTCATTGGTATGTTCACGCACACCGTGGGTTGAATGTATGATTACTTTTTTGTCACTTTTTCGGTTGCTATTATTTAGAAGGATTTTGAACAAGAATCCACCCTTTGTCAGCATTGGAGTTAATTATGTTTAAGAACCTTGAAATTCTGCCAGAAAAAACCTAGAATCTTTCTCAAACCTTTTAGAAATAAAGCCTTAATCAATCCAAAGCAGCTATAATAAATGCTCGTATCGACCTTTTCGAACTACAAACTAACACAAACGCTCAAGAATTGACGTACAGAGCACAACTGAAATTAAAGGCACAGGGAAAATGCAAAAACTGCAAAATCAATTAAACATCTATTTAATCAGATTTTCTTGTTTGTTATGTTGAAAGTATAATATTTCTGCGTTTTGTTAAAGAATTCTTCTTATTCAGCAAAAAGCCATCAGATTTTAATGATCCTATCTTCCATCAAACATTACAAATATTACGTAGAAAGTAGTGTCAAAAAATCGATAAACTGTCAACTTGTGCACTAGGTAGCCGGTAGCGTGCTGGTAGTTGAGTCTGCGCCTACTACTAGTGAGCATGAGACACAAAAGTCACATTTTATAGGAAAACCTACATAATGTCATAAAGAACTAATATAATGTCCATTGCCATTCCAAAAATGTGTTTTTACGTGTAGATGTACGACTTATGGCCGTATCGTCAGTCGTTCCTACAATTGTAGGACGCCCTTATGTGTTCCTGACATACCGCTGTGTGTATTCCATACTAATTTTAACGAATGTACCATTGATCCAGCTTTCACCCGGTTACTAAATGTTTCCCTCAACTTAATCTCAAATAATATTTAGCAACAATCTCACATACTATTGTAATTTAAAATCGTTTTGCCCAATAGTTGCTATTTCTTCTTAATGCTATTGCAGCTCCTGATGATGCTGGCATAGTCCATTGAAAGCTAGGTCCTAATAAAGTATAAAGAGTCCTCATTGCTTGAATTTTGTCGAAGTACCGGACTAAAGGCGGAAGCTTTATTTTTCACCTAACTGGTCTAGACGACAAGTTATTATTATATACAGGGTGACTTTGAAGTTGAGTCATTAATTTTCAGATAATGATTGTAGAAGGAAGATAAACCAAAATATGTGTGTAAAAATAAAAAAAAATTAAAAAAAAATGTTACCTTGTTTTATAAAGTATCCTCCCGACAAGTATTTCAGTGCGGACCTGTGCGCCCAAAAGCATGTCACAAAAACTGTTCGAAATGTTTTCCGTTTTGCTCGACGCACAGCTGGGCGCGTCTTAGCCATGTCTCTTTACAAGCACGCAATAAAATCACTGGTTGATTTCTGATCACTGTACTCATTTCCTCAATGCGAGCACGTAATTCTTCGCGTGTATTAACCGGTGTTTTATACACTAGAGTTTTTAGCCAACCCCACAAACAAAAGTCTAAAGGATTTAAGTCCGGAGACCTTGGCTGCCAAGGTACAAAACCGCCACGGCCGATCCAACGATTATTAAATTGTCTATTTAAAAATTCACCGACATTTCTTGCATAATGGGGTGGTGCCCCATCTTGTAAAAACCACATGTTTTGTCTAATATTTAAAGGCACATCTTCCAGTAAACCAGGCAAATTGTGTTGCAAGAAATCAAAATAATTTTCACCAGTTAAGCGATTTGGTAATTCAAAAGGCCCCACTAAAATTCCATTAACAATTCCCGCCCACAGGTTGATTGGTTCAAATCGCTGTTGAAAATTGGTTTCCCTTATTTCATGGGGATTTTCAATAGCCCAAACGTGAGAATTACGTGAATTAATAATTCCGTTTCTAGTAAAGAGGGCTTCATCACTCACTAAAATTTGATTTAAAAAATTGTCATCATTTTGATGTTTATTTAAAAGCCAATTGCAAAAGTCAACCCTTTGTTCATGATCTTCCGGTTGTAAGGCCTGCACTTTTTGTATGTGAAACGGATAGAACTGATTTTCACGTAGAGTTTTCCAAGTTTTATACTGACTAATCGCCAATTGAGTTGAAATTTGTCGGGTGCTTACTGTTGGATCATCACTTACTAATTCTAAAATTTGTTCTTCTAGTTCTATTTGATCGTGTGGTCTTGGAGCACCGGCATGATCTCCTCTGTGAGGTCTTAAGTCACCTGATTCACGAGCTCTTTGCACTACATTAACAAAGGCACGAGGGGTTGGTTGCACTCGATTGGGAAACCGATCCGCATAGATCCGTGATGCCGCGGCAGCATTTTGTAAAGACTCCCCGTAAATAAGAACCATGTCCACAAGTTCAGCATTTTCGTAAACATGTGCCATTTTTGATTTGAGCCTCGCAACAGACACGATTATTCACTTACGCGTTACCGACTACCGACTGATACTGACTGTATACAACTGAAGAAAATAATTGTAAAAAGATCGTTCCAAATTCTTTCGCTTTTTTGTTTCCGATGCGATGAACGGATAAGGCGGATTATATCTGTTGTTGCCAAACACGAGAACATAATATCATTATTGAGACAGGGCGGTACTCAAACTTCCAAAGGGCTATAACTTTGTTACTTTAATTTTACCAGAAAAATGGTAAACGAAAAAAACATTTCTTTTGATCAGATCTACTCACTGTTAAAATAAATGACTCAACTTCGAAGTCACCCTGTATATATATATATATATATATATGCTTTAACTGTAGATATCGGCTCATGTGGCGATTATTGTATCTGAACTTTATATGTTTGCTTTCCATACCTGTAACAATGATCAACCGCAGACAGCGCTGTTTCGTGCTCTTTGATAATTCATTAATGCGGTATTGGTCTAGTCTCGGAGACAGATTGACGGGAAGCAAACAAGCGGGTGTGGTCTTTTGGAAAACTCGTAAGGCTATGCGCAGACATGTGAGAAATCTGACAATACGCCGCCTACCAATGGCATACCAAAGGTCAGCTGAAACCATACTAAACCCATACGTTGAAATGACAGAAAGATACCTACAATAATGCATAGAAGGCCTTTGCAACCAACTTTGTGAATAGTTAGTAATCCGCCTACTTGACGGCCCGACGGTTTTGTTGGTGCGACATCTATATGCACATAGTGCAGTCGTCGAGCAGTTATGAGCCATAAGAGTGGTCTTTCTGTCATTTCATCGTATGCAAGCATTGACAAACTATCTTCATATTTCTCAGTGTGCACAATCTATAGTCTTTTATTATTTATCAAGTTGCATCGCCAAATGTAAAAACAGCTTTACTGCTTTTTTCCCCATTTCTTCCTAGATGTCATCCAATTCCTCGGATGCGGATCTAACAGACTTATGAAACCTCATTGACAATGATTCAGGAAATCCTGATGACAGTCGTCGAAATCATGCGGCAAAAGGGGCCGACTTCAGTTCTTCCGTCCAACTCCCTAAAAAAGTTTGTCACGTTCCCTTCGAATGCAACTCGTTAACAGCGCGGCGTCGGTTGGTGTCGATTTTAAGCGTCGACGTCGAAGGCGTCATGTTGGAGCGACACGTCTGAGCATGTACGCGTCGAAACGCTTTTTATCCTGGCTAAATTCAAGCTCGGGCAAATTTTAAATGAAATCAGAATAAACGTAAATAGCCCCATTTCCGTCGATTAACAATGTTCCGCTGGAGGCGGGTAATTCCGCAAGTTTTCCGGAGTGAGTCTGAAAGCCTCATCATGGTACAGTTAAAATGCGACTGGAACGCATTTGTTGGTTCCGAAGGGTGGCAAGATTGGTCAGATTGTCCAGTAACCGATGGTTTTGGTGAAATATAGTTTGATAGCATATGATAGAAAATGATTTATTTAGCTTTAAGCTACTTCATACAGTAATACGAGGTCTGTAAGTTAAGAGAAGAGACTTCCATCTAAAGTCACACAGCCCTGCTGGAACTCCGATACTGAAATAGCCTTCAGCTGGTCGGTTACAGCCGTTTGAATGTTTTCGACTTTCGCAAAATGAGTTCCTTTGTGGTGATTTTTCAACTTCGGCAAGCCAGGCAAATAAAAAGGCTGAGGAGTCGCATGAATATTTTACTCATTTATTGACATTTCTGTGCGACAAAGAGCATTATC